GGCGGGAGCCCGCAGTCGTACGAGGAGCTGCAGACGCAGCGGGTCATGGCCAACGTGCGGGAGCGCCAGCGCACCCAGTCGCTGAACGAGGCGTTCGCCGCGCTGCGGAAGATCATCCCAACGCTGCCCTCGGACAAGCTGAGCAAGATTCAGACCCTCAAGCTGGCGGCCAGGTACATCGACTTCCTCTACCAGGTCCTCCAGAGCGACGAGCTGGACTCCAAGATGGCAAGCTGCAGCTATGTGGCTCACGAGCGGCTCAGCTACGCCTTCTCGGTCTGGAGGATGGAGGGGGCCTGGTCCATGTCCGCGTCCCACTAGCAGGCGGAGCCCCCCACCCCCTCAGCAGGGCCGGAGACCTAGGTAAGGACCGCGCCGCTGCACCCCTTCGCCTCTCAGGTGGCAGACGACTGGCCGACCAGGCCGCGGTTCCCAGTCCACCTCGATTTCCTCTCCTCTCCCACTCTCCTCTCAGCTTTCCCACCTCACTTGGCACCGTTGCCTCGCGCCCCCAGCGTCCCGGGTAGGCCGGTCGGACCCCGTTAGGGAGAGCAGTCTCCAGGGGGATGCGCCCTGGTGAGGGGTGTGTGTGCGCGTGAGTGTGCGTGACAGGAGGGGAGACAGAGACGCCCAGGGGTCACGGGTAAGGACCGTTTTGCCAGCGCCACCCTTTCTTTCAGCTTTCAATTTTTGTTCTCCTTAAAACATATGTTTTAAAACAAATTCCACCTCCTCCTTCTTTCCACCCACCCACTTCCTCTTGCCCTTGGGCTGAAATCCTTCCAGGTTGTTCAGCTTAATTTCTCGGTGGTGGTGATAAGAACAGTGCTCACTAGTCTTAGAAAACAGCCACAGAGACCTAAACAATAACCGACTCCCCCCTCTGGGTTTTTGCAGATGTCATTGTTTCCAGAGAAGGAGAAAATGGACAGTCTAGAGACTCTGGAGCTGGATAACTAAAAATAAAAATATATGCCACAGATTTTCTTGGAAATTAGAAGAGCAAAATCCAAATTCAAAGAAACAGGGCGTGGGGCGCACTTTTAAAAGAGAAAGCGAGACAGGCCCGTGGACAGTGATTCCCAGACGGGCAGCGGCACCATCCTCACACCTCTGCATTCTGATAGAAGTCTGAACAGTTGTTTGTGTGTTGTTGTTTTTTTTTTTTTTGACGAAGAATGTTTTTATTTTTATTTTTTTCATGCATGCATTCTCAAGAGGTCGTGCCAATCAGCCACTGAAAGGAAAGGCATCATTATGGACTTTCTCTATTTTAAAATGGTAACTATCAGAGGAACTATAAGAACACCTTTAGAAATAATACTGGGATCAAACTGGCCTGCAAAACCATAGTCAGTTAATTCTTTTTTTCATCCTTCCTCTGAGGGGGAAAAAAAAAACTTAAAATACAAAAAACAACATTCTATTTATTTATTGAGGACCCATGGTAAAATGCAAATAGATCCGGTGTCTAAATGCATTCATATTTTTATGATTGTTTTGTAAATATCTTTGTATATTTTTCTGCAATAAATAAATATGATAAAAAAATTTAAAGAACCTTAGAGTTTGGTCTATATTTTTAAAGCTAAAGATTAAGTTGGTGGTAAATACCTGCTTGTTTAATTCTAAAGGCACCCAGGAGGGAGGGGGCACTAATATAAACAAAACAGTGAAAAACTCAAAGCAGCTACTGACAGGCACAAGCATGTTGTTTAAAAAGACAGCTTTATTATTATTCCAGCTTGGTATTCAGTGGGCTTAGTAGCATCTCTTCTTCATATCATCTCCAAACAGCAAAAACTAACAAATTTGCTATTCACCTCCCTTATATTCTGAGGTGGTAGTTGTAAAACCGTTAAATGCAAATAAGGAGTATGAAACCTGCACTATTCCCTTATTATGTACTTTTTGTCATGCTCTGCACTGTTTGTGAAGATTCCTAAATAACAAGTTTTCAGTGAAAAGATACATAGTGTTAAGAAAATTTTCTGTACACACATAGAAATGACCAGAAATGCATAGAAAACAAAGTGCAAATCAGCAGAAAAGGGAAAATTCCATTTGTAATTTGCTTAGCTGTTCTCTCATGAATGAATATGACATTTAGTGTCTTGTTTGCTAAAAAGAAAAGTTAATATATCCCTATATTGATGCTATTTGGGAAGCATCATTCTTTTTTATGTGTGAAGAATATAAGACTGAACTTACAGTATCGTTGGTAACTGTTGGAACAATCACAGTTTTAAATACTACAGCTATGCAGTTTCTAGTCAATTCATTAGCAAATATATTTTATCCAAAATTACACAGAATTTTTCCCTGGTGAGATCATACATACCCACACATACACTATCTGAAGTTAAGTAAAACAATAATGGGCAAATGGGGGTTTTTGATTTTTTACTTCATTCTGATTATTTCTGGGCCAGGAAGATACTGGCTTTTATAATTAACATTATTAGAAATAGTGATTTTGTATCAGTTCTTAACTTTTACATCCAATTTACTGCATTCAAGTGTAATTGGGGAAGCTTTCAAACTGGAAAGTTATTTTGGTGTCTAATTCAAACAGTGACTAATAAGTGTATGTATCCAAAGAGATCGTTGTTGCTTAGCTTAGGTCGAGGTTATTTTATTGCCTGAAGGTTTCTGTTTTCTTCTTCACACAGCACCATAGAATGCTGACATAAGAATATTATGAATTTATTGTTAATATTTCAGATAGTATTTTACAATAAGGAGTCTGCAGCATTTACTTGTATTAAAACATTACTGAAAGCTTGGAGAAGTATTATTTTTGGATTTTGATAGTCCTTTAGCAAATAACAGAAAGGGAAGGCGATTATGTGTTGGCGTATTTGTGGGGTGTTTGTGTGTGTGTGGTGTGTAAGGTAGGTTAGAATTGTAAGGAGGGTGCCCTAGAAGGATGAGGGAAAGCATTAGGTTGGTAATTCTCTTCTGTATGTATCGTCCAACCACTTCCATTTTCTAAATTATTCATGAGGAGTCTCCTTGTTCACTAGCTTGGTCTGACTATTTGATATTTCAGATTTCTTGAGGTACACCAGGATGGAGCTGGTCATCACTGCTGAGAAGGTAATTGTTATCTTAACTCTGGATATAAGAACTAATTGTGTCAAAGAAAGGTAGCTCTCCATTTGCCTTTCTTTTCTTTCTTTTTAAAATGTGTTTTGCTTTTTCTACTTCTTTCATAGGAGGAAACACTTTAGAGAAAAGCAAATACCATATTTATAGTAATATTAAATACTAAACTGAAGGTAATGTTTCCCCCCAGATTTTCAGAGAAATAAATGAATGAAAAAGGTGGTAAATAATTGTATTTTGAATGAGGCAACTGCACAATGAAAAATATTAAGTACTATAATGCAATTTCCAGCTTGCCGAGTCTAATCCCTACCCCCATATACACAAGACATAAATCGCGAAATTCTTTTTTAGAATAGAAATGAAGCCACCTGCTTCTTTCCCTCCACCATTTTATCTTCTTTTGATTTTATTTCATTTTATTTTTGCTACCTACTCTTAAAGAACACATAGAATGAATTACCTCTGTTTCAGAAATAAGAAGCTAATGCTTTCCAATTAATGTGTTGGTTCACTCGGGATCTTTTTCCTTCAGCCAAAATGCATTTGCTAGGGGAAAGTATTGTATTAAATTGTCTTGGTTAAACTGTAGACAATTGAATGTTTCCTTTACTGTGCTATTGATTATTTTTATCTTGTTTATAAGTTGGTCAGATTGATAGCCTTTAGTCACAAGAAAGCAGTAATTTTTTACCCATATGCACATTTCCCCTTTTGTGCACATACATGCCAAGCACATGTCCAGATGATAATGATAATTCATGCACAGTTACAGGTACCCTCGCCAAAGTGGAACATATTATTAATAAAATAATGTCAAGAAGCAGAAACTTGCACAATGTGTGTAAATTTTTTCCCATACTCAACAACGGCACAAGCTGCTTGACCCTTCGGTCTTAAGGTTCATATTCATAATGGAGCTTTTTAAGGGACACTTGGCCTCTTGCGAAAAAGTAGAGCATTTTGCACATTCCATGGTTTGGCAAAGTCAGAACTGGTTATTTTCTCTAGACCAGTATCAAGTTCTTCTCAGGCATATGATTTCACTTGAAGTCCTGCCCAGGAATCCTTCAAAGTGAGCGTTTGTCCCACTCTCATGATGTCAGGCGGTTTTCCCTGCATCTGTAATTTGAAGAAAAACAAACAAACCTGCGGGGAACAAACGCCACGGAAACCCAAACAGAACTCCGTGGGGAGCGAGGGTCTCACCTGCGGCAGGCGTGGGAGAGGGGCAAGGGCATGGTATCCGCCTGCGTGGGTGGCGGACCCAGCCCGCGCGGTGGGGAGAATGACGATGTCCCTACCTCTGTCGGTTTGCGTGGAAGGCCCCCAGCCCCGCGTCTGGCCGCTGCTAGGAGGCGGCAGTGCCAAGTGTCAGCGGTAGCAAGGGGAGCAATAGCAACAGATTTAGGCAAAGGCCCAACCTGGAATTTCCAGAGACAGGCCCACATTAGGGGACAGACAGGGGTCGGGCGGGGATCCCCGGGGACCACTTTTGCAGAATTTTCCGCTTATATGTCATAATGAATGCGCCGCCCCCAGCACCAGTGAAAGTGGAAGGAAAGTGCACCGGCAAAGTGGAAGGACAAATCGGTTTCTTCCTATTTTCTCAAAGCCGGCAATCCCACTATTTCTCAGAAACCTCCCAACTCTTTGAGAGCCCACGAATGTGCAAATAGGAGGATTATTAACTATCTTTATTTACTGGACAGCAAAGGATAGACCCAGTTTCAATTAAAAAAAAAAAAAGAAAACCGACATGGGATATATTTTTCCCTCGCTTTTGTCCCAAGGCCTCAGGACGTGAGCCCACTTAATGTTCTTAGCAAATCAAAGCACGTGTCCTTTGAAGAAGGTGTGTAATTGGAGTTTAAGGCATGTATGGAATTCCCAGATGTCTATAAAGTAAGAAGGAGCATGTGGCAGGTCACTGGAAGGTGGAGCAGGTTAAAATCACTGGCACAGACGTGCCCCCTTTAGATTCTCCTCCTTTGTAAGGACCAACGAGATAAGCCTTCTGAAAGGTTGAGATGGGATCATGATGAATATTCAGCTTCTGGAATCAGAGTCATAGTAACCATGGTAAAAAGCACATGGTCAGAAAACCTCAAAGAAAACACTCAATTATAGCCGGGATTTTGTGGGCACCCTGCAACGAGATGGTTTGGGGTTTGCTGCAGTGAAAGTCTCCAACAGCCTCCTTTCTTGTTTACGTGGACTATTTTCTTTTCCTTCTATTTTTTTTTTTCTCCCACCCGCTCTCAAGTTTGTCGATGTGTCCTCCTCCTTCGTGCGATTTAGGCTGAAGTCAGAGGAACAAAATTCCAGATTAGGAAAAGAAAAAACAACTCTGAAAGCATTCATTCCAGAAGGCAGCCTTCTTGGGGGAGGGGAGATTTCCAGCAAGTGAAATTAAGTTTCTGTAAAACATGAAGTTTGCATATCTACCAGAGAGGGAAATCTCATGAAATGACTACCACCAAAATCAGCTGCTCTTTTCTTTCACTTTATTGAGGAATATATAGGTGTATAAGGGACTTTCGAACCTAAATGTGAATTTGTATGGCGTATTCGGCAGTTTTCCTTTTGGTTTGGTCTGAAGACAGAATCAAAAGACAACTTTTTTTCTTGGGTTCAAAATGCTACCCTCATTTACCTGCACAGTCAGGCCTGAAGTGGGAGACTAAGGATCAGGAGTCTCTCAAAGAACCTGGCCATGGCAAAGGTTGGCACTGGGAGGGAGTGATATTGTGGGAAGCTGGAACTGGGGGCCAGTGACATGGGGGTGGGAGGTGGGCGGACTGGAGCACAGCCCACCCCCACAGAGGCCACCACTGAGGCAGGTGGGATAGGGCAAGGGATGCCCTGGGGGGGTGATGCGATGCGAGTGTGACAAGTGAAAAGTTAAGCAGGTACCTGAAGGAAGTTTATCTTGCCCAGATGTTAGGGCTTTTATGAAACGTCATGTGAATAGAACAGATGTACAACTTGCAAATGGGGACACGCCTGTAAATACAAGGAAGGCAAATGCTTGGAGAGAAATCCAGGCATAAATCATCAACCTCCTTTTCTAGATAATCTATTTTCTTCTTTAAACATTTGCTTTCAGGAAGGGAAGACACATCTTAAGTTGTTAAGTACATCTCCCAGAAGTTGCAATTCCATCTCCTGCCCAGATGCCCATCCCCTAGGTTCCTTTGGAGAGTTAGGGTGAGAGATGAATTTCACCACCCCCCTCCTGTTTTCCTCCTTCACATTCCCCATTTCCCACATTGCTCTTTGGACTTCTCAAAGACTTTTGATCCTGAAAAACATATCGGATCTCGGTTTGGAAAAGCTGAAACTAATCAATTGCCTTTTTGAAGGGGTAGAGAGTGATAAGAAGAGCGAAGGAATGCCAGGCCTGACAGATTCTAAACCTCCAAGATGCTTGGATGGGCTGAAAGATGAGC